TCATTGGGGAAAAAAAAGGGGGGGGACCAGGTTTGCTGGCCTGATAGAGCTTGGTGGAACCACTGAGACTATGGCCCCTAGCTGCCCTTCAGGTCAGGAACTGAACACACGCCTGTGGCTTCCAGCCAAACAATAGACAGGCATATCAGTTGAACATTTACCTGAGGTAGAAACACTCCTTGGAGAGAACAAGCATTGGAGAAAGAAGGACTGCTTATGCTCAGGGAGACAGCTCAGGGGGCAGGAGTACATGGACGGATGGACACAGGGAAGAGGTAACTGTCAGAAGGAAGTAGGAGGGGAGATGTTGCATTGTGGTAAATTGTGGTCAATGTCATGAGACAAAGTGTTTGTGAACTGCTGTATGAAAAATATATTTGCTCTGTAAACTTTCACCCAAATCACAATAAAAAGAAAAAAAAAAAGAATTCTGACTTGAGTCTTTCAACTCTGATCCTATTCTGTCCTCTTGGATTCTAGATGGGTGCCTCCCTTTTTGCCAGTAACATCGGCAGCAGCCACTTTGTGGGGCTGGCTGGGACTGGAGCAGCTTCAGGGATTGCCACTGCAGCATTTGAATGGAACGTAAGTCACATCAGAGTTTTTGTCCTTTCCACCAAGTCCATGTGCAATATTTTTATTCTAGGAGTCTGAATAGAATAAACTCCTCTTTGGTTTGATTTCTATTTTCACCTTGTTCTAGTCCATTCCTTTTTTGACCTTTAGGAACTTCCCATGTGACCCCATTCTGCCTGGGCCATTCCAGTCACACCATTCCCCCGCTCTGAGCTTTTGCTCACATAGTTACTCCCAACATGAATGTCATTTCTATCTCACTCAAGTTCATTTTCACTAGACCTCCTCTCCATTCTCTCTCTTCTCCCTGGGCTATCACACTCTGTCCAGCTCTAAACTAGGTACAAGGAATTAAAAAAGGTAAAAACCATGCTTCCCTCTTTTGAGGAGTTTATATTCCAGTGGGAGAGACAGACATGCATTCTGCAGAGCATAGCAAGCACAAATGCAGAAGCGTATGTAGCTATTGGTGGATCTCACAGAAGGGGCATCTATTGTGGACTTACCACATGTTAAGGGTGTTTCACGAAGTTGCCACAAGGAGGAGGAGTAGGAATTAACCAAGTGGGCCCTGACTGAGTCAGTGATAGTAGAGTGAGAACTGAATGATTTGAGCGATGGTAGGTAGATTCTACAAGGCTTTGCAACTGACTTCTCAAGTACCCTGTTGTCATTTTACCAGTAGAAGTTGTGTCTCTTTAATTAGACTCTACATTCTAGTAGTACACAGGGAGCTCTGGTAGCATAGTGCCTAAGGCACTTGACTGCTAACCAGAAGGCTGGCACTTCAAAACCACCAGCCAGTCTTTGGAAGGAAGGTTGGGCAATCTACTTCCATAGTGATACCACCTCGGAAACCCAAGGAGGGGTCGCTAAGAGTCAGGCTGATTTGACGGCACAGAACAACAACAACAACAAACATTCCTTAAGACCAGAAGCCATGTTCTCTTTCCCACTCACATCATTCTATCATCCTGCATATGGCTGGGCACATGGTGAACATGCCATAAATATTTCTTGAGGTGGCTGAGGTTTTTTCTGTTCTTTTTTCCTTTCCAGTATTTGCATATACACATGTATAATATCAGTCAGAGAGATGTCTGTATGGAAGAAATTTGAGTCCTAATGAAAGTATAATCAGACCATCAGATGCTCGGGAAGTGATCTTGAATCATTACAAAAGCCTGTACCTCTTTGTTGAATATTTTGCCCCTAGTTTTCCTAGATAATGTCAAGGACCCTAAGATCATCCCAACCTCCACAGACATGGACACACATGCCATATGGCCAAGTGGGTGTGGTTGTCAGCCTTCACAGATCTCAGCTGCACCTCTTATAGCATGTGACTGAGCCTCTCTGAGCCTCAGGTTTCTCCTCCATGATACAGGAATGACTGTTTTATAATACTTGCCTCATCTGGTTATGGTGAGAGCAGCATGAGAGATACATGTGAACGCTGTCTGTAAACATCACATATTAATGTAAGGGCATATGATTATCATTATATTGCAGAACTAGGCAGGGGATTAGTAGTCTTATCTCTAACTTTCCTTCTCATTGTTCTGTCACTCTGCCAATAATTCCTACCATTCCAGAGCTATTTTAGTTTGGCAAAGACAGTATAATCTTCCAGGGGTCCATCTGGGCTCAGACAGTTCATCATCTGATCATTTTTCACCACATATATTTTGTCATGTCCTAAGGAACCCACAGCTGCTGTCTGGGGGGTCATAATTGGGTGGACTGGGCCAGAATTCAAGCAAACTTTTTTTTTCAGACTCAGAGTTTATGAAACGATAAGGTCCACCACCAAATCTCTTTACATTTTTTTTTTTTTTTTTTTTCCCCTTTCCTTCTGTAGGCCTTGCTGCTGTTGCTAGTTCTGGGGTGGTTTTTTGTCCCCATATACATCAAGGCAGGGGTGAGTATCCTCAATTGTGTGTTCTGTGCCCATCTTTCACTGTATTTCATGCATTCATTTATTCACTCATTCATTCTGCTCAGTCATGATGTTGAGGTACTCAGCACCACTTGGCCTGTTTCTAGAAATGTACAGGTAATCAAGATTCAGTTTCTTCCCTAGAGATACTGCCAGTGTATACTGTGACTGCACCAAGGAGATCAGTGATAGCCCTGAACAATCATCATGGTGATTAAGGCCAGTCCAGCCTGGTACAGGAATAGGAGATCTGGCCCACACATGTGCTTCAAGAAATGAATTTCAGAAATTACATGAGTACAGTCTTGAGGAATGAGTGATACTTCCATGGGTGAAAAGTAGTATCATGAAGGATTAGATGAAACAACATAAAAAGAACAAAAAGCATTAAAGGACTTGGAGTGTTGGGGATCAAGTAAAATTATGGTTAAATAAAGGGTATTTGTGGGAAGAGTGGTGGGATTGGAGGAGGGCCACAAATGTAAGTAGGCTTAGTAGTGGAATGCCTTGTGTGTATCCGAGATTGAAAGGTTTGTCCCTTATCCTTCTAGAAACAGGCAGTAAGTGTAAGTTTTCAGTGAAGGGTCATGATCAGATTCCTGTTTTAGGAAGTTCTACTCAGGCAGCTGAGTGGAGAACAGACTTGAGGGGGGAATCTGCTGAAGATGAGATAATGAGGAAGTTGATATGATGCCTTCAGAGGCTCTAGTCAAGGAAATGGAGAGGAAGGGGTCAGTTCTGGGGTAGAGATGTCAGGTTTAATGACAGATAATGGAAAGCATTGAGGAGAGCAGCATCCAGAGAAATCCTAAAACTTTAAGCTCAGGGACCTGGTACATGAGGCCACTGGATAGTGGAGGGTGGGGGATCCCAGATAAGACAACAAATGATACACAACAAGGAGAAGAATGGGTTCATTTTGGAACCGCATGATCTTTAGGACAATAACATGGATATGCTTCTCAGGCATAGAGGGTAACTGAGATTTGCATATTGATCAAGAGAGAGATCTGGGCCGGTGCTATCTAAATGGGGCTCCTGATCTTCAGAAATATTGTTTGAGCTGCCACCATGTGCCTCAAGGATGTGACTGTGAACAAGAAGCTGTTCCTCTCCCAACCAGCAAAGGCAAAAGACCAAACCCACTGCCATCAAGTCAATTCCCACTCAAAGTGATCCTCTAAGACAGAGCCGAACTACCCCATAGGGTTTCCAATCCAAGGTTGTAAATCTTTACCAAAGCAGACTGCCTCATCTTTTTCCCACAGAGTGGCTGGTGGGTTCAAATGGCCAGCTTCTTGGTTAGCAAATGCTTTAACCGCTGAGCAACCAGAGCTCCTTCACCAGAAAAGGACAAATAAATTGGACATCACATATGGGAGGGCTATTCTGGGAGATTCTGGGGGAGCTATGAAAGGGTTTCTAAGTCAGGCAGAGCATTGAGGGAAGCTTCCTTAGGTGAGGACCATCTTGGTGGAGCCTTGAGGAACGAGTCAACCAGTCAAAGACAGGTGAAAGTGGCTGTCCAAGCAGGGGAAATACTGCGTGCTGCGGCCCAGAATGAGACAGTGTGCAGCATATTGGGGGACCTGGAATGGTTCCATGTGGCTGAAGCACAGGTGTTGGGGCTGGGCCTAGGGTATGAATGTCGGCAATGGAGATTGAGTGAAGCAGTGGCCGGGAACCGGATGAAGCAGGAAATGTCACAGCTGAGAATCCCTGTTGATGTCTTTCTCTGCAGGTGATGACCATGCCGGAATATCTGAAAAAGCGCTTTGGTGGGAAGCGACTCCAAACCTACTTCTCCATCCTGTCCCTCTTCGTCTGTGTAGCTTTGAGAATCCCAGTGAGTTCAGAGCCTCCTGGCAATTTGTTTTTGAGGAATTGACTTGATAGGTCCAGTGCTAAGATCAGAGAGCTAGAGGATTCAACTTTATAGTTCGAGCCACGTGGGTGCCTTAACAAGCTGGGTCTCTCTACCAAGTCTTTGTGGGGAAACAGGAAATTCATTGCCCCAGTATTCATAAAGTAGTAAACTCTTAATTTGTGAGAAGCTTCAGAGTGTAAGTTTACACTTTCATAAAAAAAAAAAAAAAAAACACTGCCTTCAAGTCAATTTTTACTCATAATGATCCCCATTGGTTTTCCAAGGCAGTAAATCTTTATGGAAGTAGATTGTCCAGTCTTCCTTCCACGGAGTGGCTGGTGGATTTGAATCGCTAAACTTCTGGTTGGCAGTCAAATGCCTTGGGCACTACACCAACCGAGTTCCTTTACCCTCTCATTAGGGAATGAAAAAATAGATGTACAGAAAGAACAAAATGCCTCATTCAAGTAACACAGTTATTTAATAATGGAAAAGAGGAGGACTTCTGTGGTCTACCACATACTGTCCTCTTCATTCTCTTTGGTAGAGTCCGTCTGGATTGATACTTTTCTTTTCAGTTGGACTATCTGGCATATGAACCTACAGAAAACTGTTTTCCATTATTTTACACTGAATTTTCTTAAATTTACTCTATCTTACCTAAGATTGCCCCCTGTAAATTAGTGTCAAAACAACTTGAAATTTTTTTTTAAAAGTTACATTCCTTGGAGATAATCGATGAAGAAAGAAAACAAAAATGAAGATTCAGTAGCAGATATAGAAAAGAAAAAAAAAGAGTAAATCAATTGCTTTTCATCCATCAGTGACTGGTGAAATAATCTGGAAGTTTCCAGTCCAGGCAATTGTCTCAATGTTCCTGAAAGAAGAAGCTGATTCTCACTATTGCTCTTCCGCTGAGCTGATTTACTGTTGGAAATAAGCCAACTGTCCAGATTAGATGGTACAAGACTTCCCAATGCAGAGTGAGCATTTATTAGCATTTACTGTTTGCTATTGAGCTCCAAGCTCTGGTGGTGTAGTGGTTAAGACATTTGGTGGTTAACCAAAAAGTTAGTAGTTTGAACTCACTAACCGCTCCATAGAAGAAAGATGAAAGATGAGGCAGTCTGCTTCTGTAAAGATATACAGCCTTGGAAACCCAGAGGGGGTGGCTCAATGGTAGTGACTTTTCTTTATTATTATTATTATTGAGCTCCATGTTAGGGGAAGTAAAGATACCTACGTGCTGGGAGTTCACCAGAATCATACACATGAAATAATTAGCACCTTATAACAATACATGCAAAGATACTAGACTGAACTGAAACACAGTATGTGTGAACAAGTATATATGGAGGTCATCTTCATGGAGAAGGCATTAGACAAGTCCCCAGGATGTGAAGTGTTAGGAAATACAGAAGGAAGCAGAGGTGTGTTGGGCCCCCATGCTCTTATGTTCCACAAGTGGGTTGGACTCACTAAGCTCCCAGTTCTCCAGCTATGACACCTACAGCTTCATGATTCTGAAGAGCATTAACAAGGTGCTGGGTCAGAATATCAGAGACCAAAAGGGCCCTGATGGATGCAGCCTCATGGAGTGGAGTGTTCCTGGTGGTGGAGAGGTTTCAGGAGGAGCTGGAATGTTGTTGAGTTTAGGGGGAAGGGGAACAATGAAGGCCAAGAATGTGTGTGGCTGCGGATCTTCAGTTGGAATGGCATGGTGATAGGAGTCCATTCTTGCCTTCAAGGACATTTTAAGTGATATTAATAATCATCAATCATAGACATGACCTTTGGTGTACTTCTACACTCTGATAACAGATTTTGTTGTGGTTACTTATTAAACAACTAATTATGAGGAATTAGGGCTATTTTCATAATCCTCCCCTGCCCCAGGCTTGGAAAAGATCACCTTGTTCACTGGTTCTCTCACTCCAATAATATATCTACTGAGAATTAATATATATGTTAATCAAGACAATAAGTATTTCCATTTGTATTTTGTAAAAGTTTTGATATTCTTTTAGACACCACATTGCAAATTTTAAAATCAGGAAATTAATTTTAATACAAGCTGTTATACGATCTACTGACTTAATTCAAATGTTGACAATTGTTCCAAAAATGTCCTTAACAGCAAAAGAATATACTGGCTCATGCATGCGATACATTTTTTTATGAGAAATATTTTATAATGCCTTCTTAACTGTTGTTAGGTGCCTTTGAGTTGCTTCCAACTTATGTTGTTGTTGTTGTTATGTGCTGTCAAGTTGGACACAACTCATAGCGACCCCTCCTTGAGTTTCCAAGGCAGTGTCACTATGGAAGTAGATTGCTCAACCTTCCTTCTGAGGAGTGGCTGGTGGGTTTGAACCACCAGCCTCCTGGTTAACAGTCAAGTGCCTTAGGCACTATGCTACCAGAGAGCCCTCCAACTTATAGTAACCCTGTATATTACGGAACAAAACACTGCCTGGTCCCACACCATCCTTACAATCGTTACCATGTTTGAGCCCATTGTTGCAGCCAGTGGGTCAATCAATCTCAGTGAGAGTCTTCCTGTTTTTTGCTGACCCTCTACTTTACCGAGCATGATGTCCTCCTCCAGGGACTGGTCCCTCCTGATAAAATCTTGTGTGTGTGAGTTGATGAAGTCTCATCCTCCTTTTATTCTAGGGATCATTCCAGTTGTACTTCTTCCAAGACAGACCTGTTCATTCTTTTGGTAGTTTGTGGTATATTCAGTATTCTTCACCAACACCAGAACTGAAAGGCATAAATTTTTCAGTCTTCCTTATTCATTGTAGAGCTTTTGCATGCATATGAAGCAGTAGAAAATACCATGGCTTGGCTCAGGGCCACATTTGTTCTCCAAGTGACATCTTTGCTTTTCAACACTTAAAAGTAGGATGAATGGAAACGGGGAACCCAAAGAGGATGTGGGAAGAGTGGTATTACATTGAGGGTATTGCAACTAATGTCATGAAACAAAAAATGAATAAGTTGTTGAATGGAAAAATGATTTCTCTGTAAACCTTCACCCAGACCAGAACAAATTAAAACAAAGAGAGTTTGTGCAGCAGATTTACTCACTAAAATGCATTGCTTGATTTCTTGATTGCTACTTGCATGGGCATTGATTGCAGATGCAAGTAAAATGAAGTCCTTGACAACTTCAATTTTCTCTCAGTTTATCATGCAGTTCCTTATTCATCCACTCGTGAGGAATTTTGTTTTCTTGATGTTAAGGTGTAATCCATACTGAAGGCTGTAGTCTTTGATCTTCATCAATAAGTGTTCCAAGTCCTCTTGCTTTCAGCAAGCAAGGTTGTGACATCTGCTATCAGTTCGTTGATGAGTCTTCCTCCGGTCCTCATGCCATCTTCTTCTCCAGATGGTCTCACTTCTCAGATTATTTGCTCAGCATACAGATTGAATAAGTATGGTGAAAGGATACAACACTGATGGACATCTTTCCTGATTCTAATCTACACAATATCCCCTTGTTCTGTTCTAGTGACTGACTCTTGGTCTATGTCTTGGTTCTGCATGAGCAAAAGTAAGTGTTCTGGAATTCCTGTTCTTCACATTGTTATCCATAATTTGTTATGATTTGTACTGTCAATAAAACAAAGGTTTTATATCTGCTTCGGGCCACAATTCATCTGACATCAACAATGATATCTCTCGTGTCATGTTCTCTTCTGAATCCAGCTTGCATTTCTGTCATTTCCATGTTAGTGTACTGCTACAACCATTTTTAAAATATTTCCAGCAAAATTTTGCTTGTATATTAATGAAGTTGTTCAAAACTTTCTGTATTTTGTTGAATCACTCTTCTTTGGAACGGGCACAAATATAGATCTCTTTGGGTTGTTTGGCCGGGTACCTTTTCCCCAAGTTTCTGGGCACAGAAGAGTGCTTCCAGCATTGCATCCATTTGTCAAAACATCTCTATTGGTATTCTGTCGAGGACTGGAGCAACACTTTCAGTGTACCTTGAACTTCTTCCTTCAGTACCAGCAATTCTTGATCATTTGCTACCTTCTGAAATGGATAAACATTGACCTGTTATTTTTGGCACAGTGACTGTGTTTCCCTTCCATCTTCTTTTGATGCTTCCTGTATCATTTGATATTTTACTGCCTTAAGCTAGGTTCTCTAGAGAAGAAAAACAAGTGAAGCTTATATATGTATATAGAGAGATTTATCTAAAGTAAATGGCTCATGCAGTTGTAGAGGTTGGCACATTCCAAGCCTATGCATTAGACATCAGTTATGAATCCCACTTGGTCACGATGTTTTATTATTTTTTTATATGTTGTTGGATTCTATTAGCTAGGATTTTGTTGAGAATTTTTGCATTTTTGTACATGAGGGATATTGGTATGTAATATTCTTCTTTAGTGGTGTATTTTCCTGGCTGGGTATCAGGGTTATGCTTGATTCATAAAATGAATCATCCATCCTTTTCTATGTTCTAGAATAGTTTTAGTAGAATTGGTGTCAACTTTTCTCTGAATGTTTGGTAGAATACTGCAGTAAAACCACGTGGGCCTGGGCTTTTTTGTTGAAAGTTTTTGTTTGTTTGTTTGTTTTTGTTTTAATAATCTGTTCTATTTCTTCTTTCTTGAGTCTGTTCAAAATTTCTACTTCAGTGTGTGTTAGTTTAGCTAGGTCATGTGTTTCTAGAAATTTCTCCATTTCTTCTAGGTTTTCAAATTTGTTGGAGTACTGTTCCTCATAATATTATGTTATTATCCTTTTTATTTCTGTTGGTTCTGTGTGACATCAACCATTTCATTTATTTGTGTTAATTGCAGCTTTTCTTTCTTGTCCTGTCTTAAATTTGTCAATGGTTTGCCAATTTTTCTCCTCCCTCTAAGTTTATTCCATTTTTGTGTTTTGTCTCTGCGTGGCTCTCAGTCTCTTTCTCTCTCATTTCTTGACTATTTCAGAGTAAATTGCATATCATGGCTTTTTACCTTCAACATACTTCAATGAGCATATCTTATTTTTAGAAATAGGTATATTCTCTTTTAAAACTCTAGTAAAATTATCAACTTCAATAAACATTGTATTGCACATTTATGCAATACAATGTAATATTAATTAATATAATACTAATCTACATTTGAATTCTGATTTTGTTAACTCATCCAAAAAAAAAACAAAAACAAAACTAACTGCTGTCAAGGCAGATCTGACTTACAGCGATCCCTCCTTGGGTTTCTGAGGCGGTATCACTAACTACAGAAGTAGATTGCCCAATCTTCCTTCCAAACTCATCCAACAATATCCTTTAAAGAATTTTTCTTTTCCAGAACAGGATTCAGCCTTTTGATCTGAAAAATTTCCATAGCTTTCCTCTGTCTTATATGATACTAATATTTTTTAAATAATATAATTCCTCTTCTCTCTTTATAATAAACACTCTTCATTTCTCATTTATCTGATATTTCCGCAGGATTAAGTTCAAGTTAGGCATATTTTGCTATTAACAATGATGTTAATTTTGATCCCTTGGTCAAGGTGTGGTCAAATTTCTCCATTGTATAATTACTATTTTATTTTCCCTTTTGACCAACAAGTAGGCTGGCATGAGAAACTTTTAGCTCATGCAAAGATTATTTTCACAAATTACCCAAATCACAATAAAAAGTTTAAAAGATATATTTTGATCACAAATTATCACTAGTTTTAGCATTCACTGATGATTCTTACCTGATCCTATCTTTACTATTACTCTTTCAAAATAATGGTTTTCCAACACTAACACTCCCTCCTTATTTACTAGTCACATTGAACATTCTACTGAATCTTCTTCTCTACCTAATTACCTGTTTTTCTATTTATCCATCTGTCTGTTTACAAACTATCTATTATTGATGTGAACTCATAAGTCTTCTTTAAGCAATTGTTTACAAATCATTATTGTATGTAATTATTTTGGTGTTCACATAGCCCAAATTTTACATAGGTTGATCATATGTGAAAAGAGTGACATACCTCCATTATTTTATTGAGCAGCTCCTTATGTTCTGGCATAGGAAGATGTCTAGATTCATATTGCACCAGCACTGCTCTTGTCTGGAAATCAGCCATTTCTCTGGGGATATCTGGTTCATTTCAATGGCTAAAAACATTAAAGACTAAAATCTGAGTCATAAGTGTGCTCAGTTCTACTCAGTTCTGTTTCTTGGCCTTGTCAACAGACAGAATTATGTATATTCATATACATACAAATACATACACTTATACATGCAAGTACACATATACACATGCATATTTATATTTTAGAAATATTATACTCACACTAAAATCTCCAATTATAATCCATCTCTATGGGGTTCTTTCATATACTCACACTAATATCTCCAATTATAATCTATGTCTATGGATTTCTTTCTTCCCTTTCCCAATTCCTTATGTGTGCCTTTTTCCACACTTGAGGACCCTTGCTCCCAACTTATCAACACCTCTACCCACTTCCTCTATCCTACAGTATATCTGAAATAGTTACAAAATATCTTACCCATATCACTACAACAACCAAATCAAAAAAAGAAAAATTCAAGATTTCTTTACAATTATTCTATATACCCTTCCCCCAAGATGGCTATGTAGCAAATACAAGTTGTGCTCAGTTTTTATTTCATTTCTAGTAGTTTCTCCTCAGTGGGGTTTTGTCTTGAAAGGGAGTTTTGGCACTAAGTTTGGAAAGTTGATATGGCCTAGACTATTCTGATCCCTTTCAGAACTAAACAAGGAACTCTTGCACTCACCTCTAGTTGACAAAGCAAAACTTCTTCCAGTTTCAGCTACTGTCCTAAAATTGACCCACTATGCTTTCCAGTGAATAGCTGTTGGCAATTTGAAGTTTTCAAGTTTTGAGGTTAGCCTTGTTTCCCTCTACTTTCTCCTGGATCCTGCTACTATGTTGGTCTTGTGGCTGTCCACGATTTGTTCCCATGACTTACATCTTGAGCTTTGTGAGAACACCTTGTCACCTAGTTTTGTTGAAAATATTCATGTGGTTTTGGTTTTGCTATCGACTTCTTCTGTTTTTCTCTTATAAGGAAAGTAATAAACTAACTGCCACTATTACCTCTTCCCAGATTGATTTCTCTATACCTCTGAGTGTGCCTGATCTATATCATTAAGTTTCATGTCGATAGTATGACAAAGTGTTCAATGGCGTGAGGTTTAGTGTCACATTGCACAGATTCAAATCCTGACTTCTCCAGTTGATTCCTGGGTGATATTAGGTAAATTAATTAACATCTCTGAACCTTAATTTACTCAGAGCAAAGTGATTATAACAACAAAAATACCTTAAAGGTAGTTTTAGAGAATGGGGCAGTGTAGGGGTAAATTCCTTAAAGGTTTCAAGGAAATTATAATTAAATGTTCTCAGAGTAAAGACAAATATTACTCAATTCATCCCTTGAAACAGACTCCATCTAATATATAGTTGTAACAAAAATAATCAAAATATG